TAGAGAGCGGCAGGGGAAGGGAAGGGGGGAGGGCGATATGACTGACTTCGCGGCTGCTCCAGGGGGGGAAGTGCGCCGCTCGTGGGCCTGCCCTCGCAATTCGCGGCCAGCTCGCCAGAACAGATCGCGAAAGGGGTCTCGACGAGATCGGCGCGGAGGAGGAGGAGGAAGAGAAAGGACGGGGAGAAGAGGAGAAAGGAGGAGGAGGAGGTGAGGGGTCCCTGGAGGCCCCAAGCGCACATCAGCATCAGCATCAGCATCATCATCATCATCATCATCATCATCAGCAGCAGCAGCAGCAGCAGCATCACCATCATCGTCATCATCGTCATCATCGTCATCACCATCATCAGCAGCATCAGCATCATCAACATAAGCATCAATATCACCGTTGTCATCATCATCATCGTCAGCAGCAGCATCAGCATCATCATCAGCAGCATCAGTCACATCATCAGCAGCAGCATCATCATCAGCATAATCATCAGCACCACCACCATCATTATTACGAGAATCGTCATCAGCATCGCCATTGTCATCGCCAATGACATCATCGCCGTCATTGGCTTGACCAGCATCATCAATCAACATCATCATCATAATCAGCATCAGCATCCTTATCATCAGCATCATAACCATCATCAGCAGCATCAGCATCAGCATCAGCATCGTAATCATCAGCATCATCAGCATCATCACCACCATCACCATCGTCATCAGCGGCATCAGCATCACCATCATCACCATCAGCAGCAGCACCAGCATAAGCAGCAACAGCAACATCATCATTATCAGCACCGTCGTCACCATCATCATCAGCATCATCATCATAAGCATCATCATCTTCATGATCACCATCATCATCATCAGCATCATCACCACCACCATCACCATCACCATCACCATCACCATCACCATCACCATCACCATCACCATCACCATCACCGTCATCACCACCAACACCATCGCAACCACCATCCCCACCGCAAGCACCATCAGCATCACCACCGCCATATCACCATCACCACCATCACCAATACCAACACCATCACCGTCGTCATCAGTGTCACCACCACCACCGGCATCAACACCATCACTTACCACCACCACCACCACCACCATCACCACGCCACCATTATCATCCAGCCCACCTCTCCCTTCTCCCATTCCTCATACCCCCCCCCCAGACGGAGCAGAGGAGCGGCGCATTTACTCGGCAGGCTTGGAGAAGCGCGTCGCCCCGCCCGTGAGGGCCAACCTCTCGGCTATGGCCCCGGCACGACGCGTGCTGCGGGGGTGCTGCGGAGAAGAGGGGCCAAAAACGCAGCATAGGAGGCGCCGCGAGGGCGAAACAAACTAGGGAAGAGGAGGAGGAGGAGGAGGAGGAGGAGGAGGAAAAGGGGGGAGGAGGCGGAGGAGGAGGAGGAGGAGGAGGCGGAGGAGGAGGAGGAGGAGGAGGAAGGAGGAGGACAAGTGGAGGAGGGGGGGAGAGGAAAGAGGAAGAGGAGGAGGAGGAGGAGGAGGAGCAGGGAGGGAGGGAGGGAGGAGGGAAGGAAGGGAACCAACATGAAGCCAATCGGAATTCGCACTGGTGAATCCAACGGCGACCGCGAGGAAGAAGGGCTGCGCCTCCGACCAAACGAAGACGAAAAGTAGGAGCACTTGCGCTAGTGAGCAAAGTTCGCACGCCGTACGACCATGAAAGACTTCTGTTTGAAAGAAGCTAGAAAAGTTCAACATGGAAGCGCACGTGTTCTACAAGCGCACAGGAACTGTGCACGCCAAGCTTCGGCGAATCAAATCACCAACCAAAAGCACTGAAGGTTCCGACGTCATCAGTCATCACAGATGGCGGGTTCCAGAAACCCTGAACCCCAAAATGTGGTCATCTCTTGGGGGGCCGGCGGAACCGCCCTCGTTTTCCTTCCGCCAGCTTCCGCCGACCTTCCGCCGCCTTCCCCGGAGGAAGGGATGGCAACTCCTTCGATCCCCTAAGGTGAGGCAACGTCTAAAACGCCCCATATGGTGGCGCTCCACTCTGCCGTCGCTCGCGGCAGTCCTGCTGCCGACCACTCGAAACCTGCGGCCTGGCCGGCACGGATGCACCTGTCGCCCGGGGACCAGCCGCCAGGGTCTTGCGGGATCCCAGGGGAGGGGGGGAGAATACCACTGCGACACCATGAGATAGGAAAGGTGCTTTTTCGCTAGCCTCGCTCGACGGTGGGACCGCTCAGAGGTGCTGGAGCGTCCGTGCACACGCCTGAGCCTCGAGCGTGAGAGGCTACGGAACAGAGAGCGGCACCATCCATCCAACCGGCACCATCCACCCAGGGGAGGGGGGGGGCCGCGCACGCGCCCCGCTGGGACCCGAGCTTCAGGGCAGCAGCCTCGGATCGCGCCGCACCACGGGCCCCCGCGGAGCCCAACCACCTTCGCCTCGACGGGCTGCGTGACGTGCCCCTCCAACTTCGCACGGACGCCCGCAGGCTCGGCCCTCCCGGTCGATGAAGTAACGCCGACAATGCATATGGCCGTATGGGTGACCACGCACGGGAAGGAGCAGCGCCCCAGGGCGGCACTGTCATGCAAGAGACCAACTGTGGCGGCGAAGAGAAAGGACAAAATCCCGCCCTGGCCAAATCTGTGCTCCCGAATGCTACGGCGGCCCAGGAGCCCCCCACACTCGAAAGTCGGTCTGCGGGCGAACACGGGTGACGTGCACACCCACGCCGCATGCTGCCGCGTGCCTGTGGATTGGCATCACCAGGGGCACTCGTCGCTCCACGACGGGGTATCCTGTGCCTGGCAGACAGGAGAGACCAGGGCTCCGCTCCATAGCCAGAGGATAATTCTGTGTTCCTGGCTCTGGTGCTCCTGCATAGCGTTGAGTCTGGTAAGGTTGCACCTTTGTCCCGCTGGCTCATCACGCGACCAACCGTGCTGGTGAGGGAGGTACCTCCACGGTGATGGAGCCTCCGCAATATGCGTCATGCTGCTGCTGCCACCCAGATGCGAAGTAGAAGCGACAGCTGTACTTCCAAATGCTCTGCTGGAAGTTGTTCCATTCCGTTGACACGGTATATACTCTGAAGTGCAGGCAACGCGCGCGGACGTGGCCGCAGCTGCAGTGCCCAGCTCAGTCGGCACAGCATCCCTGCGGTGAAGGACATGAACGAGGGGCCCAAAATTTGGCCACGATGGCCACAGAGGGAGGAGGCCATGGATGGGGGAGAGGGAGGAGGCAGGAGGGGGAACGACAGAGGGGGGTGAGGGGGACGAGGCGGGAGGAGGGAGTGAGAAGGGGGGGGAAGGGGAGGAGGAGGAGGAGGAGGAGGAGGCGGGAGGATGGAGGAGGGAGGAGGTCGAGGAGAGGCAGAATGCGGAGGAGGGAGGAGGGAGGAGGGGAGAGCAGCACCTGGCGCAGGAGGGCGAGAGGGAGGACGAGGGCGGCAGAGACTGGAGATGGGGGGGGCCCTGACCAGAGCTCGGGAGAGACCCCGGCCGTGGCAGCGCGGGCCGCGCGGGATCGGCAGCGGCATCGGCTACCTGGTCCTCCCCCGAGGGGCGGAGGCCGGCAATGGCGCGGCGGCCCCTGGAAAACCGCCGCGCGCGCCGGCGGCTGCGGCGCGCGCCGTCGCCGGCAGGGGCGAGACGACGGCGCGGCGGCAGCGGCCCACGGCGCGGCCCTCACTGCGACAGCTCCCGCCGACCCGGCCCTCACCAGAGGCCGCCGCCGTGCTGGTACCTGGCGCGCTCGTTCTCGTCCTCGCGGCACACCTTGGCGGCGAGGGGGGAGGGCTTCTTGGAAGCACCCTGCTTCTTAGAGGGCGCTGGCCCTGCATCCACAGATGAGGCCCGCGCCTTCTGAGAAGCAGGGGTGCTTCTACGAAGCCCTCCCCCCTCCCCCCACCCCCCTCTGCGCGTGGCTGAGCACCTCCACGATCTTGCGCTCGTCCTCGCTTAGGTGGGACAGGTCCTGGCCCTCGGGGCCGTAGAAGGCGGCGACGATGGTCTCGTGGCGCGGGTTCACATGGCCGGCCGCGCGCAGGGACAGGGGGGAGGGGCAGGGCGGGCCCCAAGGGGGGGGGGGCGGTGCCCCCTGAGAGTGGAACCAGAGGGCACGGCATGGACATGGGTTTTCGGAGGTCCGCGCGGACTGCTCGCGCGCGGATTGCTCGATTCCTAAGATCGGAGGTCCGCGCGGATTGCTCGATTGATCGGAGGCCCACATGGGTTTTCGGAGGTCCGCGCGGACTGCGCGATTCCCAAGATCGGCGCGTGGCACCCCTCTCCCCGTGGCGCGCGAGGCGCCCCGGGGGCGGCGCCGGCGGCGCCGCCCCTGGGGAGCCCAGCACAGAGCCAAGAATGCCGCGCAGGGCTCCGAAAGCGTATGACTATGCTGACATTTGTTTCTCTTCGAGGGCGAAGGGCCCGCCGCTGCGCAGGGCGCGGGCGGGGAGCCCACCAGAGGCGCACGCGCCCAGCCGTGTGCACGAGTGCGGCCCCCCGTCCCGCGAGGCCAGCCTGGGGTTGCGAACGTTCGCGCAACGCACACTCTCGAAAGCCACGAAAATCCAGGTGAGCGACGAAAACAGACGGACGGGTCTTGCGCGAGGCGGCACAGCGACCTTACGCCGCGGCATGCGCGGGCTGCCAGCGTGGCACACCGCGTGGAGAAGAGGGCGCCCGCGCGCGACCGCACGCGGGCAGCTGAAGCGCCAACGTCGGCAGAGTCGAACCCGTTGCCCTGGGTCGCTCATGTACGCAGGCGCCCTTGTTTCGCCCCTGGGCAGGGGGCTTGCCACCTCCAGCGGCCGACGCCTCCGGGGAGGCCCCCCCTGCAGCCTCCCCGAGGGCCGCCCCCCTTCCTCGCCCTGGCCCCGGCCCTCGCTGCACGCCGCCGGATGGCCGATGGATGGCTTCGGGAGCGTGGTGGGGCCCTCCGGGTCCTTCCGGGCGTTGCCAGAAGTGGTCCTGGCGGCCCAAGGTGCTCCCAGCTCTCTTCGTGCCACTTCGGGGCCGCTGGGCCTCGCCTCAGAAGCCCCCAAGAATCAATCATAGGCCCACCTCGCCCTAGAAGCCCACAAGAATCAATCATGGGCCCCCACGACGCCTCCAGGAGGCAGGAGGCCCCCAAGAGGCCTCCTCTCCCTTGTCCCTCTCATTATCATCCCACTCCTCGGACGTCCTCTTTGGGGGGGGCTCTGGATGCCATCCGCACGTTCCTTGGAGAGCTGGGGCCACCTTGGTCCAATGCCACTTCTAGCAACACCTGGTCCTTGTCGCCGTCGATCGTGAGGAGACTGCTGGTCAGGTCCTGGGGGTGTCCGCTCGCCCCGGACTGCCAGCACGCGCGCGCGATGAGGGCCTCTGGAGCAGAGGGCGAGAAAACAGCCTGAACATGAGCTTTCGGAGGTCCGCGCGACTTCCACGGGTCGGCGCTGGGCCCTCCTGGTGGCGCCCCTGGTGCCGTCGGGAGGACTCCGCGCAGACTTCCGAAAGTGCATACGTATGTGGTTGCTTGTTCTTCGATGGAAGAGGAGGGTGAGGAAGAGGCCCAACTGGACCCGAGTGCCCGCCACTCCGAGGCTTCGAGGAGCTTCGGGGGGCACAAAGTATTGATAATTACAGCTGCTCCCCGGACCTCTCCAGGTGCGCGTTCTGACCAAGAGTTGGAGGCGAACCCTGCCGTGGCGGCAAGGGAAGAGCATGAGTGTTGGTTATCTTCCTTTCCTGCGAAGGGGAGGAGGAAGATGAGGAGGAGGAAGCAGCGGCGGCGGCGGCGGAGGAGAGGACGAGGAGGAGCAACTGACGGAGGAGGAACAGGAGGAGGAGGAGGAGGAGGAGGAAGAGGAGAAGAGGGAGGAGGAAGAGAAGGAGGAGGAGGAGGAGGAGAAGGAGGACGACGACAACGACGAGGGTGGGGAAAAGGAGGAAGAGGAGGAGGTCGAGGACGAGGAGGAGGAGAAGGAAGAGGAGGAGGAGGAAGAGGACGAGGAGGAGGACGACGACGAGGACGAGGAGGACGAGGGAGGAGGAGAAGGGGCAGGCGGCGGCGGCGGCGCAGGACTGGAGGGGGAGGAGGAGGAGGAGGAGGAGGAGGAGGCGGAGGAGGAGGAGGAGGAGGAGGAGGACGAGGATGAGGGGGAGGACGAGGACGAGGAGGACGAGGAGGAGGAGGAAGAGGAGGAGGAGCAGGGAGAGGAGAAGGAGGAGGCGGCGGCGGCGGCGGGGCAGGAGTGGATGGGGGAGGTGGAGGAGGAGGAGGAGGAGGTAGGAGGAGGAGGAGGAGGAGGAGGAGGACGAGGAGGAGGAAGAGGAAGAGAGACAGGAGGAAGAGGAGGATGAGGATGAGGAGGAGGAGGAGGAGGAGGAGGAGGAGGACGACGAGGAAGAGGAGAAGGAAGAGGAGGAGGAGGACGAGGAGGAGGACGACGACGAGGACGAGGAGGACGAGGGAGGAAGAGAAGGGCAGGCGGGCGGCGGCGGCGCAGGAGTGGATGGGGGGAGGAGGAGGAGGAGGAGGAGGAGGAGGAGGAGGAGGAGGAGGAGGAGGAGGAGGAAGAGGAGGAGGAGGAGGAGGGAGAGGAGAGGGAGGAGGAGGAGGCGGAGGAGGACGACCAAAGTAAAACCGAGACACATCAACAATTTGGAATAAACCTTCCCTCCAAGCTCCTTCCTCACAAGCCCCCACACACATGCTCATTTTCACCGAGGGAATTGCCGCGTAGGATACAACCATTGTTGAAATTCCTGAAGCGTGCCAAAACAGCACTCCCGGGATCCCAACGCAGCGGGTCAACTTGCCTGCTGCGTGTTGACGATCCTGCATCGTGCCCGAACACCATTCGTGGGATTTCTACACCGCGAATCCATGTAACGGTTGCGCCATCATCCTCCTGGGCCCTTGCAGAACATGTTTTGTGGTACGTTGACCGTGGGATTCCGTGAATCTTCTGCAGAACTCCCACCTCGCCCAGGCGAGAGCCACATTGTGAAAACCCACCGCCCTCCACCCGTGAAGTTTTCACATCCTTGTGAGGCGAATGGGCGCGGCGTTCCGGCGAGATCCACATGTTGAAAATAGCCCGCCCTCCACCCGCGAAGCCCTTGCAAGCTTGTCGCGCGAATGCGCGCGTCGCTGCTGCGAAAGCCACAGTTTGGAAGCGGCCCGCCCTCCATCCGTGAAACGGCTGCCATAGTTCAGCTGCAAAGGCCATACATGGTGAGGAAGACTCAAGCGAAACGACCGAAGTCTCAGGCGAAACGGCAGGCCCCCCCCCTGTCGACCAGCCTCGGGGTGCGACAGGGAGGAATTACTTATGAGGGAGAGACATGAAGGAGGAGGATGAGGAGGAGAAGCAGGGAGTGGGATGAGCAGGAGGGCGAGGATGAGGAGGACGACGAGGAGGAGGAAAAGGAGGAGGAGGAACAGCAGAAGCAGGAGCCTGGCCTACGCACTCGAGGACGCGCGGGTCGACAGGGGAGAAGGGGCAAGGCAAAAAGCGAGCGGTTTGCCACAGAACTCATTTCAAGAAGAACTTGGAACCCTCGTTTCCAACAGCTGGGTGCTGTGGCCCACGGGCGAACTGCTTCTCCTGATGGCCAAGCCGCGGTTCCATCCTCAGGGGCGGCTCCACGCTCGATCTCGTTGACGATTGTTCGCTGGCTAATGTGCATGCCCCCAGGGCGCGCCGCCACCGATCTGTTGAGTGGACCTCCTCCGCGCTGAGCAATGCGACCCAAACGCCCACAGACGTGGAACCAGAGCTGGCCATGTATGAGCGAACAGCGGCGATCGCAAGACATACTCTTGCGACGGGTAGCCATGGGCGCCTGGGGAGCGGGCGAAAGCTGGAGCGGGACGTTGCACTCGGACCGACATTCCCAACCAGCACACTTGGTATATCTAAACAACTCCACCAAACTTGTTGTCCCAGGAGAAAGAGCGCATCTCCTGCACTGCTATGCGTGCATGTCCGCGTCGCGCTGCTTCACGGTGCCCAAAGACTGTTTTCGGTCGGCGCCGATGGTGCCCTTGAGCTTTTGGGTTGCATCTGCAACGGTTCCGGGGGCGCGCTGGCAACATGACTCGCGGCGGCCGCTGCTCGCGCGCGGATCCCACATCTTCAGGTCGCCCACCTGCGGCTGGACGCAGTGCATCGCATTCGCCACTGCTGCTTGGGCTAGTTCGCCCGCTACTTCATTGCCTCGGGAACGCCTGGGTTCTGGCGCGGGTGGTTCTGCGTGGATTCGCCCGGGCGTGCGTTGCACTACTTGGGAGCGAGTCCGTCACGTCCACCTGGCCGATTGTGCACAGCTTCCTTGACTGCCATTCACCAACTGAGGTTGCTTCCTGCGGGTTTGCTATCTCGACCTCCCTGCCAGCCGTCGCGCACAATCTGTGCATCTGCACACGCGAGAACATCTTCTTCCGCAGTAGCGATTGCGAGGGCCCGCGCCGCAATCTCAGAGCAAGGCACCGTCTGCTTGTCACGCACGAGCCCGTGCACGTCGAGTTCTGATCCTTCGGCATTGTAAGTACCAGCCTCATCCAGCCCTCGCCGCACTCTCACCTCTGGGGTGCGCAGGGCCCATCTATAAACGCAACCTTCGCTCGAAGTCGGACTCCCCACGCGTCAGCGAAGCCGTGAATAAGTGGAGGCGGTTCATCAAGCTGGCCACCTGCAGACCTGCGAATGCTGAAGACACGGTCTTGCCACGAGGTTGTAGATGGAACTTGGTCGAAATGTCCCGGGGGCATTCCTCGGAGCTACATGAGGCGAAGCTCAGGAGTGTCAGCCGCGGATAGCAGAGCCCGGTGGGGAAGGTCCGCCGTCGCCTCCAGCCACGGGTGTTCGATGCTCCCATTGCAAGCTCAACCGTATATATGGTGGAACGCGTCCTCGGCGTCCGTCTCGCATCTGCCGCATGCCGCCGCGTCGACGCATGGGCGTCCACTAGCCCCGATCGGTGCCAGAGCCCACCTGTCACGAATGCTTCCGCCGCACCAGCTCCATTGAACAAACTTATTTTTGTGGTCGGAGTTGATGGAACCTCGCACTGGACATGAGTATCCTTGCTGGAGTCCCTAAGCGTCTATTCGCACGGTAGTTTCTCTCCAAGGACGCTTACTGGTTTTTTTCGTGCATTCATTGTTCGACATGGAACTGCGAGGCCCAATGCGTCCCCACCTCGAAATCCCCAAGCATCGCTGGTCTCATCAATCCACTTGTCCATCAAAGATTCGCCACGCCCAATGTTTATATATATATGAGGAAAAAAAAAACCTGCGATTCTAGCAGCTGTTGGCCCGTGACCGCTCGCCATTGCACATGGGCCTTCTTGCCAATGAAGATAGTATGCATGTGAATCCAACATTGCTTGAGCCTGCTGCCTGCGCCGAAGACCGAGCCACTCCGCAGCCTGCCGACGCGGCGCCTGTGAGATTGGATCACGATCAGGACAACAAGGGAACCGTAACATTGAAATGCCTCCGTTCGGCGAACCCCGCCACGATTGCCGCCCGACTCTTTCACTGCTTCGCGAGAGGGACCGGCAGCCCAAGCGCAGAAACGCAGTGCGAGGCCTTGGCCCCGACGTTCGATAAGATGGTTGGATGTCCCTTTCTCTGCCACGCCTTCGGTTCGAAAGAATTTGGCCCTCAAGACTCTCGCGAGTGCCGCGTCGCGTCGAGCTCTACCTGTAGCCGCTGCGCGTTGCCGACCACGCGCAGCGCCCAGCCCGAGACCTCCGACGCGCAGTTGCTTCTCGATGGAAACGTTGAGCGGCGCGAGCCTCTTCGCCGCAAATCGCGGAGCCAGACTGGTCGACTTATCTGATATCTTTAGGGCAGCTGTCAGACATCCTCTGGCTATGGTGGAGGGCGCCTCGGAGATCTGATACTTGACAAGCGCCAGAATGTCTTCCAACGCATTCCCGAACAAGCGCCCACACATGATTCTGCGCGCGGCCTGCAGGGCGCGATGCAGCATTGCCCAGGCAGAGAAATTTGCAACGTGACATCCTGCAGTGATCAAATTGCGCGGACAAATCAATCGACCAGCGTAAACCGCATGAGCTCGCGGAACTCTCTGGGCCAGGTAGGCGAGGAAGGAAATGCACTTTTCAATGAAAGGCCAACGGATTTCCAGTGCCACGAAGATCAGCGCCGCGAGAAATACGCAGTCGTAAAACTTGTCCAAGTCCAGAAACAACACTGCCACACATGTGTCTCGGAGGTGGAAAGATGCCTCATCCAATGCGAGAGTTGCCAAAGCCGCCTGGAACGCCGAGGATCCTTGGATGGCATTGTCCCAGAACCCTGCGCGTTGATCTCACCAATATGACAAGTCTTGTCTACATGGCTTACCACAGAGATACGGAGTCGCATGGGTAGAAGCCCGGCTGTTCCCCCAACGCCCGCAGGATCGCCCGTGGATTTCTCGGCCAGCATGGCATGCCACGCGCGAAGCCAATGAGTCGGCCACCCTAGAGGTCCAACCGCAGACGTCAGCAACTCAGCAAATTGAGCCCTTCCTGATGGAGGTAGCGCAACGAAGCGCGCAGGCGCCCACCTATCTACCCCAAGAGCCGCGCTGGGCATGAGCAGCTTCGCCGCGTCCAGGATTTGCGCGCCAGCATGTTCAGGGGCCGTTTCAACTTCAAATGCGTGCAAAGCAACCCCTTTGAAGCGTCGAAGTGCAAGCGGATTCCTGCTGCCCCGAGGGCGCCCGTGCCATCGCGCGCGCCATCGATCAGCACGCAATCGAAAGCCACGCTGCACACCGCCCGTGGCTTCGAAGGCGCCTGGGTCAATCACTCGGCGCCCAAGCACTTCTTCTCTGGCTGGGAGAACTGCGCGCGCGCCTTGGCCATCGAACCTCCGCGCGCTTCTTCTGCCCAGTCCACCATTCCCAAACGACCTTGCGGCCAGTCCGCGGCGCGGTGCCTGCGGGTCTGCTCGAGTACCTCATCCATGCATCCGGCGAAACCTCCGCCGCCCAGGGAGTTCGCGAACGCGGCCGCGCGGCAGAAGCCGATCAGCACCTCTAAGTTCGCCCTGCCGCCGTCGAGGGACGCGCCCGAAAACTGCCGTGACTGGAGCGCGGCGCCGGCGATAGCTGCGCAGTGGCTGGTCTGCTCTAAATGCCACCCAGCTCGAAGAAAATACGGCGTTGACCACAGGCAGTGACCCAAGTCCACGAGCTGCTGGAGCCACACTCGCTTGCGTGGCTGGCGAGATCCTAGCAGGTGCCTCAGTAGTTGTCGCGAGCTGCGCGAGGGTTGCAACTCGTCGCGAACTGGTTGGTGTCTCGTGAGGGAGCTGCCTTTCTCGAACAATACTACGCGCGATGATCGAAACATTGGGCTCGTGCCCCTTTTCCGCCATCTCCAAGAGTGTCGCCCCAGCTGTTCAGGCCCACCGAAAGTAGCGCCGGTCTGGGTCTGGCGTGTCTCCGCTCATCTGCACGGCGACCGACGTGCGAGAAACAGCTGGACCAACACCAGGTGCGGTAAGGATTGCCGGTGACCACCGGTTCGTCCACCTGTCGTCCTGTGCCGTTGCTGCCAATGTCTTCGCATTGCTGGTTTTCAAGCGGCCGCTGCGAAGTTGGACTGGCGGTTTCGATTGGTCCAGGTCTCTCATAGAGTCCAGGCCAGTCCTCTGAAGAAGCGCTTGACGAGCATGAACATGCCTCTTCGGACCTATGGGCACATCAATATTTACAATGGGGAACGCCGATTGCCGTCGGGCCGCGAGGCTGATAGACCAATTACTGCTCCAGGCCTTGAGTGAGGATGTAGTTCGAGTCCCATGCGCGGCCCCCATGGGAGATGGGGATGAGCTCGCGGGGAAGCCCAAGCATCGCCGGTGACGCATGTGCCCAACGATGGGGCCTGCATGATGGCAAGTCGACGGCGCTCCATCGGGGGCCAGCACCATGCCATTGAATATGTCGCACCATGCACCGATGATAAAGACTGTGGGATCCAGGTCCCAACCGCCAGGGATCGCCGAGGGCACTGCGATTGAGTGAACCACGGCGAGAATCTCGAAGAGCTTCGTGACATGTGCTCCTTGCTCCAAGCCAACGCCACGGTCCAGGTGGGTGTCGACGCACGCCACGGCGAGCCCTTGAACGCGAAGGATGGCCAGCACCACGCCCGCGAGAGCATCAGCCACAACACTCTTCCCCGCAGTCGCTGCGCCACGCGCGAAGGCGTCGACCGCGCGCGACGGAGCCAAAGCGCCCCACCTTTGTCGTGCTTTTTTTTTGCCTGTCGCAGGTCGAGATGCCGTCCAAGTCTGCCGAGTAGCCCATCCTTTCGGGATGCTTTGTCGCTCCTCGTCGGTTCCATCTGTTCGCAAATGGGTTTCAACAAAACCAATCGGATCGCGCTGAGATTTTTGGGACCGTCCCCGAAGCGTCTTCGAGCAGTCGGCGACGCTGCTGAAGAAGAGCTCCAAATCTTCCGGACTAGACGGGGCGCGCGTCCTAGCTCCCCGATCTCGAACCCTGCTTCTCGCCGCCGTTGCCTCGCCGCGCCCCAGGCCAGCACCAAATCTGCATCGCATTCTGCTTCTTCGCCCACTGAGAGAAATCCGAGACCACATTCTAGGATAGCGTGGCCACCAAAAGTGATTGTCTTGGCCGTGACATCTGCGTTTGCGCATGTAGTCATGCCCACGCAATGCTCTTCTGCATCCTGCGAAATGAAATCCAGGCCGAAGTCTGAGACCAACCTGCCATCGTTGAGGACGGGCATCGTAACTCTGACGCTTGTAGTGGCGCGAATATCAGGCGCATGAGCGAGATCAGCAACATCTCGAACAAACGGTTGAGAGTGCCAGGGAGTAAGCTTGACCCCATAGGCGCGCCAATCTAACAACGCCATCAGCTGCCCGATCACACCGAGGCTCTCTTCGCGAAGGCTGGGTGCGACAAACAAAATATGGTGGCAATCGTCCTGGAAGACTTCTGGACGTACTTCGCGCGCCCGACCAAGTAGTCTCGCTGGGAGGCAGTCCGGGGCGAAGCGAAGGATGACTGGCGTGAGCCGGCTGGCCGAACCCATCCGCTAATAAAGATTGCCTCCGCAGTGTCTCCACTGGCATGCCTGGAGCACTGTCGACGCACAGCGGGCGCGCGTCGCTGCGCCCGGGTAACTGGAGCCAGGCCGCGACGAACGGCGCGCGCTTCGCCGCGGCACACGGCCGCGCGTCGCAGTCCCAGACCTCTCTGACGTCGACCCTGTGGCGGAGGTACCGGAGGTAAGGGAGGTGGCAATCCCAAATCCCGCGGCGCTTCAGCATCTCATGCCCAGGATAGACCGCGCGTGAGACACGCTGTCGAAGGTGCGCCCCGATCTTAGAATATGTAATGCTCCACGTCGGCGTCGCACCACGTCTCCGAGATGAACGGCCTCTGCAAGTGCAACCTCTGCAAGTAATTCACGCCAAAGTCCTGGTGCCTTGGCCCGATTAGGGACGCGAAGAACTTCGTCATCATCGATATGGTTGCACATGTTCAGCACGGGGGTCGTGGGCGGGGCCGTTGGTGTGGTTGCTTGCTCTGATCCTGCCTGTACCCCAGGAAGATTTCCAGAACTTGCGCCTCCTCCGACGGCCGCTCCATCACCTTCGGCGTTCCGCTTTTTGCCTTCCAATCGCTTGCAGTATTATTTGCGTTATTCCATCGCCGCGCTGGGCGTGTCGAGCGCTCCTTTGAATAGGGTGCCTCAGGCCCCGTTGATTTCTTTAGCTGCCAGAATCGTCTTGTCGCCTAATTATCGCAAGTCTTTTGAAGCTCCTGTGACTGAGAGATGGTATGGATGTCCAGGATGTCGTCGGTCGTCCAGCTTCCCTTCCACCACCTTGCGCAAGCTGGTATTCGGGAGATCGCCTGGTTCAGTGCTGCGAAGGCCTCTTTGGACTTCGCCCAGTGCCACTCGCACATCCCCATCCGCACCTCGAAGTTATTTTTCGCAGCTGTTTCATGTTCTCGACGAGCTCTTGCCTGCGAGTGCGCCACCTGCCAAATTGGAGAATTCCTGATGAAGTTCCGTTACCAAATATTAATGTTCATGCTCAGCTTTCTGCGATTTCTGTCGCGCAGCAGGTGTCATTGCCTGAGGAGATCGAACCATTTGCTGGTACTTTTGCGCGCCTTCATGATCTGCAGCTTCTGCGGCAAACAAGGCAAGTTGTTTGACTGTCTCCGAAGAAATGTTTGTGACTGGTCCTGGGGGGAAAGGTGCGATATCGTCTCGTTGGGAGTCACGATTGTTTCCTTTTATCCCAGCCTTGCCAACCATATGTGGATGAATTGCCTTTCTTCCCTTTTTTGTCTTTTTCCGCGCAGCTGGTCGCAGGATGGACAAACGAAGGAGCCCTTCCCAGCACCTGCTGTGTACCATTCCTTGTCTTTGCTGGTAGGGTCTTCTTGCTTCCAGTGGGCGCCTCAGCAACGGCGCGTCAGCTGGACCCAATGAGCACACTGCCAATCACCAGACGAAGAACAGTTTGCCATCGGCCTCCACTCCGAGGACAACGTGTTATGGAAAGAGGGTGCCGACTGCCGCAGCGACGGCGTCGACGGCCCATGAAAGGTGGATGAGAACTGCCGCGGTCTGACGGTACCCCTGCAAGCACGGAAGCGCGGAGCCCCCTCGGGGCAGACATCTTGAGCCACAACGGCTACGGAGAAGGAGGAGGAGGAGGAGGAGGAGGAAGACGACGACGACGACGACGAGGGCGGAGGAGGCGGAGGAGCGTCAGCAGCAGCCAGGAGCCAGGAGGAGGGCGCGCCTGGAGCGCCACGCCGACCGCGGCCGCCCCAAGCCACAGGGCCAAGAAGCGGGCGGCGGGGCCGAGGTGCCCCGAGGCTGCCTGCGGAGACCTCCGCCGCGGTCGCCGGCCCCGGGTCGTCCCCGCCCAAAACTCTCTGGGCCACCCAGACGGGGTCCGAGCAGGTGGTGTTGGAGGATCGCTCCGCCCCGCCGATGCATCGGCGATGCGGCGCGATGCGGAGCCCTATTTTCGCCACGCCGACATCGCGGATGCATCGCCGACGTCACCGACGCATCGCCGACGCATCGCCGAAGCATCGCCAATACATCGCCGATGCATCGCAGATGCATCGGCGATGGGGCGCGATCCTCCGACCCCATCCACTCGGACCTCACGTGGGAGGCCTCTGAACTCGGAGCAGGGCGAGCTGAGACAACGTCCACTCCAAATCGATCCCCGGACCTCCCCTCAGCCCTGAGGGCAGCACCGCCCACCCCCGCGCCCGGCCAGGGCCCCCGCTCCTGGCCTGGCGGCCCAGGAAGCCCAGCTTGGCCTCCAAGAACACCCCAAAAAGAGCAGCCAGGATCACCAGGTCGGGAGTGGGGGCCCTGAGCGAGAGGGAGGGTGGGCTGTGCTGTCCTCAAGCAGCCGGGCGAGTGGAGACAGCGGCAGCTGAAAAGAGATGATCTCCGTCTGCTCCCCCCCCCGGTGCCGCCCGTCCGACAATGACATTGGACGTGGGAGTCGCGCAGAAGTCACCGTGACGCGAGGAGCAGGAATCACCACAAAAAGGGTCCGCGCGCAAGGTTCCACCATTCAGCGGCCCCACGTGAAACCTAGCCCCACCCCCCAACGATTTCTGGGGAGGGGGGGGGTCACTGCGCTGGGGACCTCCCGAACGAAAGGAACCCCCGCCCCCGCTCAGAAATCGTGGAGGGGGGGGAAGAGAAGGGCTCCCATGTGGCCACCGAACCATGGAGGGGAGAGAACCACTCCCCCCCCGTTCAGGAGGAGGAGGAGGAGGAGGAGGAGGAGGAGGAGGAGGAGGAGCAGGAGGAGCAGGAGGAGGGGGAGGAGCAGGAGCAGGAGCAGGAGGAGGAGGAGGAGGAGGAGGAGGAGGAAGAAGAGGGGGAGGAGCAGGAGGAGGAGGAGGAGGAGGAGGAGCAGGAGGAGGAGGAGGAGGAGCAGGAGCAGGAGGGGAGGGAACCACTCCCCCCCCCCGTTCGGAGCGGGGCGAGCTGCGACGACGGCAGCCCCGGATCCATCCCCGGGCCCCTCCCGGGTCACAGCCGCACCGGCTCCCCGTGGCGATGCCCAGCCGCGGCGACGGGAAGGCCCCCCGCGAAGGCCAACTGCCGTTGCCTCAGCTCGCCCTCCCAGGGCCAAGAAAGGGCGTGTCCCCCTACAGGGGGCTTGTCGACGAAAAGAAAAACTCCTAATTGTTTTAGCTATTTCGCCCTCCCAGGGCCAAGAAAGGGCGTGTCCCCCTACAGGGGGCTTGTCGACGGAAAAAAAAAAAAAAAAAAAAAAAAAAAAAAAAAAAAAAAAAAAAATAAAAATACCCCAAAATGAACCAAAGATGCTCGAAACGTCCCCAGACATTTGTTTAGCCATTTCGCCCTCCCAGGGCCAAGAAAGGGCGTGTCCCCCTACAGGGGGCTTGTCGACGGAAAAAAAAATACCCCAAAATACTCCTAAATGAACCAAAGATACTCGAAAAATCGTCCCCAGACAATTTTCTTGCTATTTCGCCTTCCCAGGGCCAAGAAAGGGCATGTCCCCCTACAGGGGGCTTTTCGACGGAAAAAAAAAGAATCCCAAATAAACCAAAGATACTCGAAAAATCGTCCCCAGACGATGTTTAAAACTATTTTTGAAAATTCCCTCTGTAGAGGGACAAACAAGCCCGACTTCATCCCGGGGCCCAAAAAAACACCCCCGCTCGGGCTGCGCGCGCGTGTTTTCGCGGCCCTGCGCGCAGAGATGTGGCCCCGTGGCGCGCGGCCTCGCCGGTCGCGGCGTTGCGGTGCTGGCAGCGGCGGCTTTCCCCGAGCCTGACCTCCTCGCGCCGGGGGGGGAACAACAGGAAAAAAAAAAAAAAAAACGGGAGGTTTGGGGGCCGTCTTCGGCCCCTGGGGATCCGTGCCGGGCCTCGGGGCCGCCAACGACAGGCTCAGGACGTGAGAGGCCGGTCCGCTGCGACGGATCACGCCATCGGATGTCTGAGTGGCGTGCGTGGGTCTGGCCCCCCAGCCGCGCCCCCCGAAAGCCACGCACCGAAGGCCACGCTGGCGAAGAGCCCCTCTTGCGTGCAGCCGCCGCCACCCCCCCATCCCTGGGCGCCAGGCCATGCCAGGGGGGTCAGCAATACAGTGGGGGCGCGCATCAAGAAGCCATCTGGTTTTCGTCGGGGTACCCTGGGTTTCTTCGTTCCGCGCGCTGCGCGGTGACTTCCCGCGGCCGTCAAAGAAGCTGATTCGTTCAGGATGCTCGGGCGTTTCCCTCAGGTGCACCTCGCGCGCGGGTTTCCATGGTTGGGTATCTTGCGAGGGTTTCTTGCCAGGGCAAGGACTACAGTAAGCACTGGCTGGCCGAAGAAATCTAAGCCGGCTGTCTGGTCCCGCGTCTGCGCGGTCGCTGGGCCAGCACTGCGCGTAAGGCTCTGTGCTTTTGCGGGGGGCAGGGAACCGTGCCAGCTCACGGGGGACTGCATGAGAAAGGGTTCGATGCTCGTCCTGAGGAGCTTCCTGGAGCCGCTCGCTCCACTCGTGCGCCGATGCTGCAGCGAACGTCCGTCGGCTTGAGTCAGCTTTGAGTCGGAACCGACTTGGAATCGAACTAGAGTCAAGCTCGAAGCGAAGCGATCCGCTGCGCGGGCACCGGGAAGGTCCCCGACGCGAGCACCCAACGATGGGGGAGGGGGGAGGGGGCGGGGGACCGGGGGCCCACCGAGGCCTCAAAAGCACGCGCACGGCAGCGGCCGAGACGCCCCCTGGGAGCGTCCCGAGGGACGTCTTGAAAGGCCGCCGCGGAAACGCCCCCCGCAGACCACGAACAGTTGTGTTGTTGTTCATTGAAGCCGCCATCTTCCTGAGGCATCGCATTGAAGCCGCCCCTAGTTTTTCATTGAAGCCGCCATCTTCCTGAGGCATCGCGCATGCGCGGGGTCAGGAGTTCTCTTCCCTCGTGGTCCTCCTCTGCCTCTCTGCCTCCTCCTGCGCCCCCCCCCCCCCCCGCTGTGTCGACTTCTGCTCGCGTGGAGCAGGGCTCCAAGAGCTTGGCCTGACATTGTTGATACAGAAAATTATCCCAGTGCGACCCTACCTAGGAGTTGGAACCCCTAGGAAAGAAGCATTAGTAGTAACAGTAACGCTAAGCTAAAGCTAAGCTAAAGCTAAGCTAAAGCTAAGCTACAGCTAAGCTAAAGCTAAGCCACAGTTAAGCTAAAGCTAAGCTAAAGCTAAGCCAACATATAAGCTAAAGCTAAGCTAAAGCTGAGCTAAAGCTGAGCTAAATATAAGCTAAAGCTAAGCTACAGCTAAGCTAAAGTTAAGCTAAAGCTAAGCTAAAGCTAAGCTAAAGCTAAGCTAAAGCTAAGCTACAGCTAAGCTAAAGCTAAGCTAAAGCTAAGCTAAACGCTAAGCTAAACGCTAAGCTAAACGCTAAGCGAAACGCCAAGCGAAACGCTAAGCTAAAGTTAAGCTAAAACTAAGCTAAAGCTAAGCTAAAGCTAAAGCTAAAGATAAAGCTCCCAGGGGACTGGGGGGAACCGCTCCCAGGGGACTAGGGGAACCGCCCGGGGCGCTTTCCACTGCCCGGCCCCTTTAAGCTAAGAGAGTAAGAACCCTTCTAGGCAGAGCCTAGGTAGGGAAAAAGACCATGAACAAAAATGCACAAAACATGGACTGTCTGAAATTCGCGAGGGCCTCTTTCGAGACGGGCGGAAGGGGGGGATAGCAAAGGGGGGGGTGAACATTGGCTCGCGTAGCTGATTTTCCCAGCGCCTCCTGGCGACGGGAGGCGCCCATGTATCGAGGAATGGGCCCGGCGGCGGGGCCGAAACCAGCTGCATGCAGCAGATTTCGTAACGCCCCCTTCCCTATCCCTATCCCCCCCCTTTCGTTCGGACCGACTCTTGGGTCGGCTCTGCACCCCTCTCCTCTCACTGCTCCGTGGTGACTTCTCTTGGCACTGCCTACTAACGAGGAAGAAGCAGAAGGCCAACAGACATCAGAGAAGCTTTCAAAGATTCGCGAGGATTTCTTGGGCCGACGCGCCGCCAGGGATGGCCAGGATGGAGCTCCAGCGCCGAGCCACGAAATCCGCGCGGGCCTCGCAAAGCTTACGATCATGCCGTTCCTGCTCCTCGGGAGAGGGAGGAGGAGCCAGGGGGGGGGGGCGGGGACTGAACTTGAGCAAGGACCGACCGTCCCGGCATTCGTATAGTCCTACCACGAAATGTTCTTAGAACCCTAAATGTTCTAAGAACAAAAACAATGTTCTTAGAACATAAACCCGATGTGATAAAACAAGACAGACTCCGCCAGAAATGTTCTAAGAACATCTCGTGGAAGCCACAGAAGGTTCTTAGAACATTGTTTGGTAGCGCTATAGGCAAGCCGGGACGCTTCGCCACTGCTTGATGAACCGGTGGCCCTGACCTCCAAAGACTCTTCTCGACTCGGGCCCTGGACCCTGGACCCTCTTCCCAGGGACCGCCTCGGCAGCGCCGGTGCCCTGCAAACGGCCTCCAGAGACCGACAAACGGCCAGAAAGCCGTCGGGCTCGATCTCCTCGAGGCTGCTCTGGAAGTCTGCCGGTCGGCCCCTGCCTCGGACCCTGACGCGGCCGTCCTGGGCGACGCGGGCGCCCCCGCAACGCTCCCCGCGAGGCGCCGTGTTTTTGAGAAGCATCCCGAGGCCGCGAGACCTGCAGGCATCCGGGCAAGTGCCCGAAAACTGCCGGGTCTCTGGAGGTCTGGGGCCGCAGCGGTGGTCTCCGGCTGCCGGGCAGGGCTCCGTGGAGACCAGGGCCTCGCTGGACGTCGGCTATCCACCCCATCGATCCTGGCGAGGCCCATGCTGGGCCCAGGATGGGCCTGGCCATGGGGGAGCAAGAAGATTCCGAGGAGGAGGAGGAGGCGGAGCAAGGAGGAGGAGGAGGAGGAGGAGGAGGAGGAGGAGGAGGAGGAGGAGCAGGGAGGAGG